TGATCCTTTTTAGTTCCCATGTTGCTCAGATATTTACCTGCTGTCCACATATGCCTCAGGAGACACTGAACTCCCTTTAGCTGTATTAAACTGAGGGTGACCACACCTTGCTTGTGATCTTTGGGATCCTGGGTGAAGGAGACCTTCTTCTCTTCCTGGTGAGTGTCCCGTAATACCTTCCACCATGCCCCCGACCCCTGTCTACTGCCCTGGACACTGGGTGGACAGAATAGGACAGCAATGGCCATCTCCTCACCAAAAGACACGGGGAAGGTGAGAATGAAAAGAACAGTGGAGAATGGAGCTAAAACCACAGGATTAAGTCCACCCTAGAACCTACTCTCCCTCTGAACATCCAGTTATGTGAGACAATACACTTTTTTACATCAGTTTGATTGGGGCTCTCAGTCACTTGCAGCTGAGGTCATCCTGATAGATACCACACTCTATGAAAGGTCCCCCTGCCCCGTTAGACCCTCAACAACTTTAACAGAATATATCTCCAAAACTGTTTGCTCCATGTTGCTAATTCTCCTTTGAAGAGTATTTTTAGGTTCTGCCCCCCCACCCCCCTAGATGCACTCACCTTGCCCTGGCTTTGCTTCTTACTGCCTCACTCAGCCATGACTCACAGGGAGTTTAGTCAATGGTCAGAACCCTGGTCATCCCGCTTGCCTGGAAGAGCCCCCACCCCATCCCTGCTGACCGGGTTTCCCGAAGCTCCCACATGTCCCAGGCTTCCCAGGACCGTTCCCAACACAGCAGCTCTGCCAGGCCAGTGTCCTCCAGGTGCTCCGAGCCCCTTAGCTGGACCAATTTTCATAGACCAGAAAAGCACATGTGCAAAGGTTTAGGAATCGTGATTCTCTCAGTTTAAGCATCCTCCAGCATTACACTGAGGCCCTGCACTATTGCTTCTGAACTGATGGCCAAAGACTACCAGTATCAGAATGACCTGTGTCGTGATAGGATGCTTGTTAAAAATGCAGATTCAGGGTCAGGCTGCCAATGCCTTGTTTTTCACAGCCCAGTCCTAGTTATCTCCAGTTCTGGATTACTCTAAAGACAGCTCAGAGGCCAAGGCAGTGAGGAAGGATGGGGAAATAGGATTGTGAAGGTGAAGGGAAAAGTGGACCGTGTGAGAGTACTGTTTCAGGTGCACAGCGGTGGCACCATGCCTACAGCAGACTCAAATTATGGCAGCCATGTGTTTTCCAGTTTCCACAACGTTCACCTTTGGGCATCTGCCACCGACCTCTGTCTTCTGTCAGAGTGTGTGCCCAGGCACATCCGGCATTGTGATGGAGCCCTCCACAAATCACAGGCTCCAGGGAGAAAATAAAACCTCCATATTCAAAGGATAGAGCAAAGTTTTAGAAGATGGCAATCTACCTGTCACAAAGATTTTGCATAAGAGTCAGTAATTTCACAAACATGCAGTGTATTTTCCTGATTCCACACTTCACCTTCCAAGTCCATGCCGGTTCACACTGCTCTTTCACGCCTTGCAGGGCTTTGTAAATTCTTTCCCAGTGAAAAACAGAAACCGACCCCCCCTTTCCTGTTGTTATGAAATATGTTTTACACAGTGACTGACATGACAGAATGCAGATTATATGGAAAATAATGCCTGCAATTTCTGACGACTAACTTCACTGAGTTGGGTTTAGAAGAGTTTAGATATAGCTGGGGGAAAAATTTTTTTGGTACCATTTTTTTCTTTTTTCTTTTCAGATCATAATTGATGGACAGGAATTCCAAGTTTATCCTAGCATGCAGGTCTATTCAAAATGGACCTTTGATGGGCCATTCCCTCACCCTCCTCATATTCATAGCTAATTCCCTTGTCTCCTTTATAACAACAAATTTATACATTCTCCTCCTCTCCTGCACCCACTCTCCAATTCTCACTGGACATTTGACAACAAAATACTTTTGATTTCTTGCTCACTAGAGGAAAATAAAGTTAGTCTCAAGCTTCTGGTACTTCGCCATGCCAGGTCCCTATGCAATGGAATAAAAAAATCCATATAATGGACTCTAATGATTGAATTTACTTTTTGTATTCTAGTTTTTAAATTACATTGGAGACACTACATAGAATCAACAATGCAGAGGATGTTCACGTTAAAACTCAAAGGTCAAGTGTTGGAGCCTGGGCCTTTTGGTCCCTAACATTACATTCCCCTCTTACTGTCTAGTTTAACGGCTCCCAAAGCGACTATGTATCAGAATCAGTTGTACGGTTTGTTAAAAATACAGATTTTCTGACACAACTGAGACATAGCAGATCTAACTTTCTGGAGTTCCATTTTGCTTTATTTTTCTGTCTTTTCTTCTCTTTCACCTTCCAATTTATACCAGCTTCCTGTATGAGTGATCTCATACAGCCAACAGGGACCCACTTACTGAAGGCATTTGGGAAGCACTCCTCCGGTTGGTCCAGTGGTTCTGGATTTTGTGTGCGCATCAGAAGTACCTGGAAGTGTTATTAACATACATGTTGAACTCGCAGAGTTTCCAATTCAGTATGTCCGAAATGGAGGTTTTGCATTTCTAACAAGTTTCTAGCTAATGCTGATCCCGTTGGTGAGGGACCACACTTTGAGAACCAGGGCTATAGCCCATGTTACCCATGCACATGCTTATTAGTCATTACCTTTCCAATTATGTGGCCAAGAAATGGGCTTCAGAGGAAGAAATAATCCTCTCACATCAAGAGCAACACACCTGGATGGACATCACTGTCAGCTGAGAGCTTTTTAAATTTTTTTCATTTCACATTCAATTTGGGGTTAGGCTTGCACTGCATCCTGGATCTACCGATGAGCATCTCCAGGATGCCCTGGGAATTTTATTGTTCTGAAGTCACCCAGCGGATTCTGATTTACTCCAAAAATTGGAAAACACTGCCTCAGATGGGCCAGACTTATGAGTCCACAAAGAACCCATACTAAAAAATTATGTGTTCTTTCTCTAAAATTCAGATTTAATGGATCATTCCATGTCTTTATTTGGAGATCTGGCACCCCAATTTACCAGGCTATCTTTGCCAGGAGTTTGTTTCCTCTGTGTGTTCTCTCTTTTGCACAACACAGCCCTGCTTTAAATGCTTCTGGAGTGAAATCCATACAAGTGTGATGTGGGGGGGGGGGGTGAAGAAGAGAAAATTAAAATGTTTCCTTGGAAAAGAAAAAAACACACACAAAGAAAAATTCATTTATCTAGATAGCAGAAATGAAATCAGAAAAAAATGTCTGCTAATGGTTTTTTTTTCACCAGACAATTCGTCAATTACACAGTCAAAAGAAACCCTGAGGAATAAAAAGACAGCGAAGATGGTATTAAAATGTTCCAAGTGAAGCCATATATAATTAATTTCAAACAAGCATAACTATGAAAACTCAAATACTTCGAGGTGCTGAGTGAAAGGTGGGATGAATGTACATCAGGCTTCAAAACTGATGCTTGCAGGTGAGTCTGCGGATCAACCAGAGACGGGGAGATAATGACGTCCTCCCCCTCCCCGCGTTATTACAAGCTAAAGAGCCTAAAGTTGAAAGGCTCCCAGTGCATCAAGAGAAAAAACAGACACACAGCCCAGAACCTGACAAGAGCACGTAATTACTAAGAGACTGAATCAAATGAGTGGAACAAACAAAACAGAAGAAAAATTCACTGATGCAGAAAACAAAGAAAGTAAGTGAAGTGATGTGGCAAACCCTTGCACAGGCTGCATAACCACCACCAGCACCCTGCCCCTGCAAAGCCAGCAGCTTTCTCCCAATGCAGGGTCACCATTTCAGAGGTTAGAGGTCAGCACTTTTACTGTAAAGGACAAAGCCATAAATCTTTTAGACTTTGTGGCACATCCGTGCTCTGCTGCACTTATCTACCCATTCTTCTGTTGTAGCGTGAAAGGAATCAGAGACAATACATAAACAAAAAGATAGGGCTATGTTCCAATAAAACTTTATTCACAAAAGTTGGTAGTTTCTATGGACTAAATGTTTACCTGCCCCCAACTCTAATTCATATGTTGAAGCCTAAATTCCTCACGTGATGGTATTTGGATTTGAGACCTTTTAGAGATAATTAGATCAGGAATGTAGAGCCCTCATGAATGGGAAGGAAGGGAATGGAGCTCTCTCCCTGCTCTCTGCCTTGTGACTCTCCAAACTGATGGTGTTCTGCAAACCGGGATCAGGGTGCTCAGCAGACAACAGTCTGCCAGCACCTTGGCCTTGGACTTCCCAGCATCCAGAACTGTGAGGAGTGAAAGTAGTTGCTTCAGCCATTCAATCAATGGTATATTTATTACAGCAGTCTAGCAGACTAAGAACACTGAGTCACGTTTGGCCCATGGGCCACAATTTGCCAACCCCCCTCATAGGCGAGCGCATGTGGCAAGGACGGCACTGTTAATGGGTTCTGTGGAGCACTCAGTGTCCTCATGGCTGGTTAACAAGGACCCTGTTAACTCGTCACTATCTGTACAAAGGCAGAGTGTCTAAAGATGATCCCAAAGTGTAAGGCAGAAAATCAGGATTCTAGGAGTAAAAAGAAGGTGCTCATTTGAAATTCTGAGACTGTTATACAAGGGAAAGAAAAGGAAACGACGGGACAAAAGGTTTTAGGGTGTTTTTACAAAGGTCCCCTTGGTGGCCCTGCCATTCAGAAGCTGACCGACCATGTGGGCCAGGTTCTTGAACTTCACTCTGCTTCTCCTGGGATGATATCATCCATCCTAATCAGGGAAGTTTTCCGACCATCTCAATTCACTAATTTTGCATTTAGCATCCAAAGAAGTATACTTCCCCAAAGGGAAAAATAAAGACTAAGTCACTTGGGCATGAAATTTTATACTTTAAGCCAGAAAAGAATCCTCCAGGATGCATGGAAAACATCACTGCAGTGACCTTCTTTATGACACTGGCAGACATCTTTCCTCTGAGATCTTCATGGAAGTCAACAAATACACATGCAGGCATTTTGCACTGTATAACTTAAAAGCTTTATTCCCCTCCCAACACACAATTAACAAATGAGTTTTATAGTCATTCAACAGGACGTTTTCCTCCTTTACTTGCCTTTCCCATTGACTACACATTGTCAGGGAAATTGCTTTCTCATCAGGGGAAGGTTTAGATTTCCTACAGACACTCTGAGCTAATCCCAGAATAAGAGGATCTGAGCCAGCAGCCTCTGCAGGAGTCAGTGAGGTCAAGGAGCCCTTTCAGCTAAAGGACCAGTCAGGCAGGGACAATATCAACTACCACAACCTGCCCATTGTAGATGCTGGCAGGATCCTCCCTGCAAAAGTGACGTAATGCAGCCTTTTTGACCAGGAAGCCTGGAAGCCAGATAATGCCCTCAGTCCGGGCCACATTCCCTTCCTCAATCCCATGGCCTCATGCAAGAGCATTTTAGTTAGCTAAGCAAACAACTGTACTCCTCACCAAATGCAAAATTTGTCTTTGCTCAAGAGTTCACTGTTTACACAGTTTTCAGTTTGTGCTTCAGAGGGCTGGTCTCTGCCCTTCCTGGAAATAATGGCATCACATCAATGGAAGCATGAAGACCCAGGCAAGTGCTGGCAGGTAGAGAGTGTGGGCGCTGCTCCCAGACGTTCTCTGAGCGTGCATTACAGCGAAGACCGCGTTAGTGTGGTTGGTGGGTAGTTCCACATTGCAGATCATTCCTTCACAGCAAGACCTGCACTCCTGTTACAAAGTGAAGAGGGGAGGAGAATGAGAGAATGAAGAATAGGAAGAAGAGGGAAGGGCAAAACAAAAAAAGAGAAAGGCTTCTCAAGCTGTCTGAGGACAGACAGAATGAGGTTGATTTTCCAGTCTATGGTACCATTGGTACCATAGATGGCCTATGGTACCACAGGCCCTTTGGTAGCACTCCATTGACCTGAAAATAAGGACCATCTGGAAAATCTTTCCATTTTAACTGTGATCTATTCGTATCACCCCAAGCATGAGCAAGGGAAGAAGAGGAAGGGGAACTGAATGAGACAGTCTAATTGAGTCAATAAATCTTCTAAAGGCTTGTAAGGAAAAATACCGAAATAAAAATGAAAGCTAGAAAGAAACACTTTGGATTGGTCATTGACTTCCTTTCTCGCTATTGTCTATGCCGACACCTGATTACTACCATTGCAGCAGCGGTGGCTTGCTAATTATGGCTGCTGAGAGGTGACAAATGCTTGCTCCCCCATAGCACTTCTCAGGGGAAGCCATCTCCTGTCATAATACCTGGTAAAAATGCCTTGAACTGATAATCCTAGCCATTCATAGAGACTTCCAGAATGGCTAGGTAAGATAGAGTAGTGACTCTTATGTATCTTTATCAGTGGTTTTCAACCCAGGCTGCACATCAGAATATCCTGGGAACTTAAGAAAAAAACCAGTTTCTGATGCCCAGGACCCCACCCTGAAGTCCTGTTTCTGCTGGTCTGGGATGCCCCCGCCCCATCACAACTCACAACAGCTCTCAGGACCGTCTCTGTGCAGCCAGAAATAGAAGCCACCAGAGTCAGCACCATTTTCTATACATACGGGCTAAATCAGATTCTAAAACTCATCAAATTAACATACTTTCAAGTAATTTTTTCTCAAACATTTCAGGATTCCAGAATATAAAAGAGTAAAATGCTCATTTAGAACAGTAGAATGAGAAAATCAGCGAGATCTAGTGATCTAAAATGTATCTATAATTCATCGTATGGAACCGAGGTTAACTTTCAGACTCTCACTTTCTCATCTAAGCAGAGATAGTGGGTGAGACAAGGTCTCCTTGGTAAAAGGCGCCACCATTTTCCTCCTTCCACTGTCCAGCTTCCCTGCGCAATGTTCTTGGTCATTTCTGGCCAGACCCAAAACAGGTGAGCGGAGCCTGGTAGCACTCGTCATGACCGCACTGAGGGTTTATTCTCGGGTTTCCACGTCTGACCGCAGACAATCCACCCAAAGTCGAAGGCTGAAGGTCTAGCTCTGGAGTCTGGGAACTGCATTTCTCTTTCAGTAACATTATTTTTGTTGAAGAACAGAAATTCTGCAACTTCTCTTTGGTCTCCATTGCATCACTATAAAGAAGTCTTTCCTCACAGTATAAACATGTTCAACATATTACTTATCCTTCCTGCATCTCCATGACATATGACTAACCATCACTAGCAAGAAACCTTAGAATAGTAACTTTCCGCCCAAATACACTGCTTACTGTGTGTTCAGAATCTCGGCTATGGTGGCAGCCAACAAAATGACATTCGCTTCTGGAGGCGCACTTTTTGGTGATTGATGTACTTCTTCCATGACTGGTAAAGTGATGAACTGTCAAACAGTATTGTGTATCTAGGCAGGAAGACAAGAAAAGGCAACTTCATTTTTTGCATTGTAAAAGAGAAACTCTTCACAATATGAGTTTAGTCATTTCAGAAATGACTAAAATTCAGGATGATCCTTAGGTTTCTAGGCAAGAAATACAATGGCAGAGAACTCAAGAGTTTGTAGGTGGTATTTTTGAAAAGGCATTAGCCTCTGAAGCACACATGTATTATGCACATGAATGTAGCCCTGGCGGGTTTGCCCAGTTGGTCGGAGCATCACCCAGTACACAAAAAGGGTGCAGGTTCGGTCCCCAGCTGGGGCATGCACAGGAGGCAACCTACCAATGTTTCTCTCAGCCTCTCTCTCAACCCCTTCCTTTCTCTCTAAAATTAATAAATATATCCTTGGGTGAGGATTTAAAAAAAGAAAAGAAAACTGAATAAAAATGGGCACTTGTCCTTTGTGCCAACTAAAGCTGAGAAAGAACTGGACAAACTTTTCAGCAAGACCACGGGTTTGCCCATTTCATGTGAAAGTGTTAGTACCTCTGCCTGTCTCATCTCTCTCTCTGATGCCCATGTTCTGTACTTCTAAAATAAAATGAAATGATGTCCATTCAAAATGCAGGAGATCAGAACAGTCTTTGTAGCAACTCAGCATCTGTTCCTTGTATGTTAATAGGCCATGTGGAATGAAAAGCAGGTGCTTCAAAGTACACATAAAAACCACCTTCCTTATTTCTTACATAAAGTATTTCTTACATAAAGTATTTCTATTTCTTGCCTCTTCTTCAATTAACTCTTATTACTTTCTCTGCCCCACCCCTGTCTTCATAGCTAACACTTTTCTACAGACTTATCCTTACAGCTTTAACCACTCACATTTTATTACTTAGGGTTCTTTAAAGAAGGTGATTTCATTCAATATCCCAGGACATTCTGCTTTAGTTTTGTAACTCTTCCACAGTAATCTCAGGGCAATATAATGCTTTTTAGTTAATTGAGAAGGAACTATAACAGCAGTGTCAAAGAATGGAGAAAAAATTTGACTAAAGTTGAGAACACTGGGCTTATGAAATTGCCTTTGTCACCAGCGAGCCAGCCACATTAGATCCTTTGAGGTCATTCTCTTTTTATTTATTTTTACTATTATTTCAAACAATTTATTGAGGTACTATTAGTTAATCACATTATGTAAATTTCAGGTGCACAACATTATAATTCAATATCTGTGTACTCTACCGCACACTCCAAAAGTCTAGTTTCTTTCCATTATCATACACTTGACCCCTGTACCCAGTTTGCCCTTCCTTCCTTCTAGTAACCAACTGGCTGTTGTACCTATGACCTGATTTTTGCTTTGTTTTGTTAGCTCATTTGTTACTTTTTGGTTTTATATTCCATATATGAATGAATGACATGTTTTTTGTCCTTTTCCATCTGATTCATTTCACTTAGTACGATATCCTCAAGATCCATCCATGTTGTTGCAAATGACAATATTTCATCTTTCCTATGGCTGGGTAGTTTTCCACTGTGTATTTCTACCACTCTTCTTTAACCATTCATCCATCAGTGGATGCCGAGGTTGCTTCCATAGCTTGGCTATTGTAAATAACGCTGTAATGAACATAGGGGTACTTACACCTTCAAGAATTAGTGTTTTTATATTCTTTGGATAAATACCCACAAGAGGAATTACTGGATCATGTGGTAGTTCTATGCTTAATTTTTGAAGAATCTCCATTCTGTTTTCCATAGTGGCTATACCAGTTTCCACTCCCACCAGCAGTGTATGAGGGTTCCTTTTTCTCCACACCCTTTTTACCACTTGTTATTTGTCTTATAGATAATAGCCATTCGAGCAGGTGTGAGGTGGCATCTCATTGTGATTTTGATTTGTATTTCCCTAATAACTAGTGAAGTTGAATATTTTTTCATATATATGCTGGCCATTTGTATGTTTTATTGGGAAAAGTGTCTCTTCAGATCCTCTACCCATTTTTAAATCAGACTGGGGTTGTTGTTGTTGCTGAACTGTGAGAGTTCTTTATATATTTTGGATATTAACCACTTGTTGGAAGTATCATTTGCAAATACCTTCTCCCACTTGGTTTATTGCCTTTTTGTTTTGTTGATGGTTTCCTTTGCAGAAGCTTTTTCATTTGATAGAGTCCCATTTTTTATTTTTGCTTCTGTTTTCCTTGCCTTTGGAATCAAACATGCAAAAATGCCACTGAGACCAATGCCTAGAAGCTTAATTTTTCTTCTATGTATTTTATTGTTTCATGTCTTACATTCCAGTCTTTAATCCATTTTGAGATCATTGTTATGTGTATTGTAAGATGTGGTCCAGTCTCATTCTTTTGCACATAGCTGTCCAGTTTTCCCAACATTGTTTATTGAAAAGACTTTCCTTTCTCCATTGTATATCCTTGTCTCTTTTGTTGTAAACTATTAACACTCATATGTGTGGGTTTATTTCTGGGCTCTCAGTTCTGTTCCATTGGTCTGTATGTCTGATTTTTGTCAACACTACACCGTTCTTGTTGCTATAGCTTTCTAGTACAGTTTGAAATAAGACAGTGTTATACCTCTGGCTTTCTTCTTTTTCTTCAGAACGTTTTGACTATTCAGAGTCTTTAGTGGTAACACATAAAAGTGAGGATTTTTTGTTGTATTTCTGTGAAAATGCCATTGGGATTTTGATAGGGATTGCACTGAATATGTAGATTGCTTTAGGTTCATTTTCTGTTAAGTAAAATTATTATAGTAAGTGCCCTAGCATTTTGCTAGGGCAGTTGTAAGCTTTAACTAATAATAACAATAGTAAACCCATACTGAGTGGGTACCACCAGCCAGCTACTCTTCTAACATGTATTCACTCATGCGATCCTTATAATAATCCTTCAGATAAGTCATATTAATATCCTCACGTTACAGATTTTTGAAAGACTGAAGCACTGTTTGCTGTCTACAGTCACATAGGTACAAAGTGGTGGAAGGTAGGATTCTAAGCTGGACAGTCTCCCAAGATTTGTGCTCCTAACCAGGAAATATCCGGCCCCTCAGTATACATAATATTAAAATGGATGGTGCTGTAACACGCTCTACAAGATAGCTGACTTCTGGATTCACAAGGAAAGAGAACTACCAAATGTTCTGGAAAAGCATTTCGCCTTACTCTAAACAACGAGGAACTGAAAGCTAGTGGTTGCATGTGTTCATACAAAGTGTCACAAGTCCTAAAGTAGCCCTAGAAAGTCAGAATAAAAGCCATAGTAAATAAAATAAGAAATGTCATTCTTGTCATACCCTGTTACACAGAAATCCTCCTTTAATGACACCAACAAACCATGGAAGGGAAACTAAAAGGTGGGAAGGAAACCTGAGATGACAACGAACAATAGCTGCAGGCCCGATGGCCCCAAGAAACGGCTGACTATCATTTTCCTAAATAATGACAAACTGAAAAGTAAGAAATGACACCCTCAGTTGGAATTATAGGTGGTTAGCGTCTCAGGGGCTTGACTGGTGTACAGTCAAGGATGCGCCGGCAAGCATGCAGGAAGGTTGGGCCATCCCTTGCCACTCTCACTCTCAGGCTTCCCGAGTGGAAGAGCTGACTGTCCTCACCCTTCTACCACTGACACCTTCTCAAGTGGTGAAAGCAGCAGCTTTTCCCCTTTGTTCACATGTTTCAACACATGAAATTCTAAAACCCAGAGAGATCCATATATATGATCCCATTGAAAATGGTTTTGATTAATATATGACAATCTGGAGCATTATGCATGGACCTGGTAGGAACTGTTTCAGTACAATTCACATTTTCCATGAAGCTAAGACACAAAGGATGGATGGACATCAATGCCCCAGTTTACTGCTATTCCAACCCGACCGCCCAGTTTTCAGGAGAATTTAAAGCAAATAGTTCAAGAATAATGCCACCCTTGGAAATAAGGTAGTAAAGAGTGGCATCCTCAAAAAAAACTTTGTAATAATTAAAGTAAATTTCTGTACCAAATGTGGGAAAAGTCCCCAAATGTGCACACTCACAGGTGCACATGCAGTGGCAAGCACACACACAATTTAAGGCAACTGCTCTACAGAAATGTAGAAGAACCCCCCAAAAAGATTTTGTTAATTAATTATTCTTGAAAAGAAATAACAAAAAGTGCTGTCTGAGTAGATGTCACAACCCTCTGTGCTAACTCATGGCCTGAGATTCCCAAGCCCAGGAGAAGGTCTTTCTTCATTGAGTCCTACTTCTTGGATCCACACGCTGGATTTATCTGGAAGAGGGCATGCTGTTTCACTGCTATGTACAGTGTGATACAGAAATTTCCAACAGATTCAAGGCAGTAGTAGACCCAAACCAGTAATCTCTAGCTCTGAAAGAGTTTGTTTTTCTTAGCCTTTCCACTTGAAAACCTAAAACACTCTACTTCTAAAATCTGAATAGCCTGGTCTCTGTATAGCTGTGGTAGTTTCTCAATTCCACATCATCCATCAGCACATCCTGTCTGCTTCACCTCCACATGTGTATAAATTAAACCATCCAACTTCTCACCCCCTCCCCTCCTAGCAGCCCCGTCCAAGTCACCATCTTCTCCACCTGAAGATAATAAAAGACTCTACTTGATGTCCCCTTCTACTCTTGTCCCCAACCATCCTTTCTCTACACAGCAGCAAGAGCAACATTTTGGAACACAACTAGTATCTTACATTCCCTAGTTTAAAGCCACTCTACAGCCTTCCCACCATGTTTACATTAATATTCAAACTACCAGCAAAAGGTCCTGTGTGTCCCACTCCTTACCTCCAAGAGACTCTTTCTCCATCTCCCACTAAGCCCCACTGGCCAGCCTTCTCCCTGTTCACTGAAGAGGCCAAATCTTGCCTCTCGTAGCCTTTGCATTTGCTGTTCCCTCCTATTAGCATGCTATTCCTACAGATCTCCATGTGGCTGGCTTGTTTGGGTCCTCAGGTCTTCTTTCAACTGTACATTCCTCAGAGAAGATTTCCCTGGCTACCTAATCAAAGGTATCCATTCATTCCATCAACAAATATTTACTGAGTACCAAATATAGGCCAGGCACTGGGTTAAACTATGGCTATATCAGTGAACTGAACACACTAAAAATACACTCAAATGTTTGTCAAATGAATGAAACAGTTCCCCAAACAACAATGCAGCTCAAGTGCACAAAACCCTTCCTTTGCTTTAGCCAGTAAGTATGACTTTTCTGGAGGTATCTGTGATCAAGCATTTCTGAGGTTCTTAGAATGCCTTAGTCAACACTGACTCTATTTTTCCTCCCAAGTGAATACTACTTAATAAATCCTTCCTCAAAGAACACACGACTACAAACTGAGGCTATGCCATCAGTTTCTAAGTATTCTCATAGTAGTCTGATATCAGGACAGTCTCTTAAAAGGAATCTCTGATTTCTAGAGAAGCGCATCATCAGCCTGTTGGTTTGTTAAGAGACCTAAATGTGGTGTGATCCCAAAGGAGTCTTCCAAGCTCAGCACACTTACTTTGTGGACACCATTTGTCTTCTGCCCATCGATTGCAGTTATAATTATCTCCTGCATTTTCACAGGTAAAACACTTGAAGCTGTTTGGAAAGGGTGTAGCTTAAAAAAAAAGATGCACAGTGAAAAGACAAAAAAAATTAACATCAAGTATGGCACAAATTAGCAACTGGCATTAGCTCAGACAAAATTTACAAACCATCATCCTTAAAATTTCTGTTTCTGCAGAGCTAGACTTAACTGCCAGACTTTGGGGCAATTTATTTATTCCTTTTTCTTTAAATATTTCATCTATACATACCTACTATGGAGTAAAAAATCACTCCACAAGCCACTTTGAAATATGTATGGTATTGTTCTATTATAATTCATAATTTAGGACTAAGTGGGGGTTGAGAGGATGAGCAATGAGAGTGGTGGCAGCATTGGAACCCAGAATGTGATATAGTATTGTCCCTGAGAGGAAGTAGAGTCAGATTAACCTGAACTTGAATGTTAACCCTCCCACTAATTAGTTGTATGATTTTTAACTTCAGAGAAAGTATATGTATAATAACAGGAACAATGAAGATCCCCATGATCTGCAGAGGTATAATGAAGATTAAGCAGGAGGTTGCAAGAAAAAATATCTAGTAGAGTCCCTGGCAAATCAAATCATGCTGGTTTCCATCCAATGTGCTGCTGTTACAACTACATTTAACCTCCATCAAACAATCTCACTTGATTTATGTCACTCACCACAACAGACCTCAAGTTGAAACGTAAAGTTTGATAAAAGATGATAGCATTTCTCAGGTCCTTATGCTCAGGGCAGGGAGGAATTAGGAGCTGCTAGCAGTCTGGTTTGAAAGCAACTAGACTGTTCTTTCTTTCTTTATTTTTCATCTTTATGCTTTTTTCCCTACCTCTTATCTTGTTATTTTAATGATTTAAAAAAAAGTACAGTAAATTTGACATTCTTCTGTGGGCTAGTGTCTAAAGTCCTGTGTAAAACTTTCAGTTATTCCATTTTTTAAAAAATGAAACAGACAAAGAACAAGGTGAAGCCCAGTCCGTCCCAGGAACCTGAGCAGAAGCTGGGATGATACTTAGAAAGCAGCGGGGATTGTGGATACAGGAGACGGTAAATATCGATGCATAAAACAAGAGCAAAATACCAGAAGTTAAAGCTCAAAGGACATGAAATTAGTATTACAAATACGTTTCAGTTTTGCCTAGGCATAAAAGTTAATTAGGTAGGTAAAAAAAAAAACTAATGGAATCCCTTCTCACCTATTAAATCAGTACAGTTTTTAAAATACTAATACTGAGGTTAAAAAAGTGAAAGCGTCAAGAAGTACAAATTGCTCATTGTGAAAAGTCACAGGGATATAAAGTAGAGCACAAAGAATATTCGGAAAACTACGTATGATGTCAGGTGGGCACTAGACTTACTGGGGGGATCACTTCATAACTTACATGAATGTCTAGTCACTGTGTTGGACACCTGAGATCAATGTAATATTGTATGTCAACTATCATTGAAAAAAATAGTTTTAATCTAAAAAATACTAATACTTAACGTTGATGGGTAAATAAAGTATAAATTGGTACAACTTTTTGATTTAGTAAGGTCATTAGTCAAATAAAAAGGAAAACGCGTTGACAAAGTTTGAATGACGCATTAAATGAAGCATTCAGCTGCTGGGGTTCCATGCATGTATGTGCGTATGTACAGACGTGGGTAATAGTTGGGGAACTGGTTCAATAAACTATAGACCAGCCATACGACTTTTAGACATTGGAATGTAAAAGGCATTAAAATACTTTCAAAGACATAGAAAATCACTTAAAATATAGTGTAATGACAAAAACTGCTGCAAAATTAAACTGGTGTGATCTCAGTACATCACGTGTTTATCTACACACACATAAAAAAACAGTGGCAGGAAATATTTCCAAATGTAAAGAAGAGTTCACTCTCAATCTTAGGATTATGAATAAATGATACTTTCTGCTGTACATTTCCTGTCTCTTTGGAATTTTCTATAATGAGCAAACATTACTGTTTTTCTCTTTTTTAAAGATTATTTAAAAATTATTTTTGAGTTATTGTTGACATACTAATCATTGAAACTAGTATTATATTAGTTTCAGATGTACAACATAGTGATTAGACATTTATATAACTTATGAAGTGATCACCGTGGTAAGCCTGGTACCCATCTAACATCGTATGTAGTTATTAGAATAGTATTGACTGTAATCCCTCCCCTCCCACGCCTCACCCCTTTGACAATCACTAGTCTACTCTCTGTATCCATTAGAGTTTTGATTGTGTTTGCTCTTTTATTTAAAAAACATGTTTTAATTAAAATAAATCCTAGTCACTTCTTTAAAATGTTTTTTATCATAAAATTGCATTAGTCTTAAAAGGTTTGAAATTTGTCAATAAATTATGTTTTATGAAAACTATGTCTGTGTGTACTATCAGTTACAATCACTCCCAATTTAGAAGTGTACAATGCATGATAGTTCAAGGTGTATGCAGTACATACACCTCTACACATGTATGTGACACAGATGTGGATACGCACAAGTGTACACACACACACTTACTGAATGTCCTAAATAATAAGTACAAAATGAAGAACAATAATGACACAGACTTCATTTAACAGAGTAGCATAAAGACTGTGGCTCCCCAAACTATTGGAAGACTATGGGTTCCAATAGTATCAGGAGAGCTTTACTAAAAGAAAGTTGGGGAGAAAAACATCATTTGTATCCCACCCTCCTTACTACTGAATCTCTGGGGGAGGGACCCAGGAACGTGTAGTTTTAAAGGCACTTATGGGACCTCTCATACCCTTCCAGGGGTGGGAACCACAGACATGCACAGTGCTACCAAACAATCTTTATCTATACCAACCTCAAGTTTTACGTACCTGAAGAGCGAGAAAGCAGTTTGTATATATACAAACACATATATGTATATAAAATACATAAATATATTATCCTGTAGATAATATACACTATTTATTTTTATATTACTAGTGGGAAAGTTGAGTTTTTACAGCCTCTCCTAACTGTGCACAATACTAATAAACATCCAGGTGTATTTTCTTCCAAATTTTATACATACTAGTCTGTTTTCAAAATTGTTAATAGCCGTTGAAAGAATATATCATTGATGCAAAAACTTCCTACAGCCAATGTCCTTCTCCAATGAAGTGATAAGCAAAAAACACTGAATTTCTCTGCTGAGCCATTCTTAGGGATAGTGTTCAAGACTGTTTTAAACAAGAACCCTTTTGAGACCTCACCAGGAAGCCAAATCATTTCAAAGAAATGGAGAGAAATGGAGAGAATTTCAGAAGTGGTGAAGATTTTCTATCCTATTATAGGTATAAACCAAATGTCCTAGAAAAGGCAAAGTTGCAATCATGGAAACGGGGACTTGAAATGCTCACTCTGACCCCGCAGTCACGAACTACCACAGTGGCGCCCACTACTCACGGTCAAGAGGAGGCCTCACGTTATAGAAGTTGATATTCTTGGCCAGTGCTCGATTTTCCGAGAAGATGAAGATCTGGACAACTGCTACAGCCAGAGCGTGACCGAGGGGCAGCATTCTGACCCTGGGATGGGAAAGTGCGAATGTCCTGTATCTATGTCAAGAAGAGAGACTGGTTGAGTTTATTTGCATTTTACGTGTCAGTAGGAGTATGTCTTGCTTCTCTTTGGAAAGCTTGATTATTCAAATATATGCAACCATCTACTTGTTCTGTAGGGCAAACTGCATTCTTTCTGATCAGATGAAAGTTAAGCAATTACTGCCTTCTACTGGTCAGGCCTCTGCACTAGCCAGCTGAGTGTTAGCACAACACCCAGTGGCCTTTCGGATTCCAGGAGCACAAGCGGCCAGTACGGGTCTGGCCGCGCCCCAGCCCATCCCTGGCCCCAGACTAGCTCACTTCCTGCTGAATCACCTCATCTCTTAACGACCGTAGTTCTGAGGCTTGTTCAGCTGAGGCTACTGAACCACCTATCTGTCAGTTCCATTCCTTGAATAGACACAGATGCTCGATAAATTTTGCAACACTTTCAAAACCTGGAGGAAACAATAAAAATTGGAGCAGCAATAGGAAAGACAGTGGCTAAAGGACAATGAGTTTGAGAAATAAAGACCTGCTGAAAGCCCTGAGTAAAGTATGTTATTTCTTAAGCTGCATGGGTTCTCCTCTCTAGAAGCCCACCTGACAGTAAGGCAATCTCCAGGCCCTGATGCTCAGAACCTAGAATAGCACCACTGACAGGCTCTCTTTGACCAGGAGGAGATAGGAACAGCAGGAAAATATGTAACTTGCAGTCCAAAGACTTTGGTTCAAGTGCTGGCTCTGCTATTTCTTAGCTACCTGACCTGGGGCAAGCTCTTTAAATCTATCGGCCTCAATTTCCTCCTCTGTAAAGTGCCTTAATAACATCGCCCTGCCCTGCCCTGCCCAAATGCTTGAGGGATCCTGAACATCAAACACAGACTTGGGTAGGATCACAGAGGATCGCGCATGTAAGAGCATTTGTAACACCGGTTCTGTGAAAATGCTGGAGTATTAGAGCTCAGTAATATTGGCTGATAGCACCCTGGCTGGTATGGCTCAGTGGATTGAGTGCTGGCCTGTGAATCAAAGGGTTCCTGGTTTGATTCCCAGTCTAGGGCACATGCCTGGGTTGCAGGTCAGGTCCCCAATGTGAGAGGCAACCATACACTAATGTTTCTCTCCCTCTCGTCCTCTCCCTAAAAATAGATAAATAAAATCTTTTTAAAAAGAATATTGGCTGACCTCACTTTCTTCCTGCTAAATCAGCTGGTTTCAGTGGGTTCAGGGAGTTTTTCAAAGAAAAACCATGATCTCCACATATAGGAGCATAACCATTCACATGGGCATTTTGTTTGACAACAGCATAATAATGCATGGGTTCTAGAGCTTTCTTCCCTCTCTTTAGTTGTGAGTATATTCGGTTTTGCAAGTGTGGCTAAAAATGCATACTCATGGACATGGAAGTGATTATTCGACAAAATACCAACGGTATTACCGTCGATTATTCGACGGTAGCCACACCATCATCTCATTCACTGCAAGTCACTAAGGAAGTACTCAGGGAGAAAACCTAAGTTTCATGAAACAGTAGTGCTAAACTTCAGGCTTTCAGCTCAGTGTAGAGTCAGACCTAGTGACAGACAATTATGTACATAATTCTACCCTGGTTCATTTTAGAAACTAAAATCAACCTTTCACAGTTTTCAGATTTCTAAATCCTGTTGCTCTGCTCTTTCTGAAGATATAGACATTTACGGTTTTATATCTTACAGACAAGCAATTATCCTGATACAACTTCTGCTTCTCCTATTCATTTCCCTGAGTTGTCCTGTTCTGTGTTCCTTGCGAATCTGCAGCCAAGCAATGGATACCCCTCCTTTAACGAGCACTTTCTGTTAGGTAGTAAAGAGCACCGGCTCAGAGACCTGCTTCCAAGCCTACTCTCTATGTGGCCTCATGAAAATTCCTCAATCTCCTGGCACCACAGTTTCTGCATCTATAGAATGGTGTAATAATAATATCTACCTCATAGGGTTGTGGGACTTAAATTAGTTAGTGCATGTAAAGTATTTGAACTAATTAGCTATTAGTTCACAAATCAGAGCCCCTCGTTTTCTTCGTGTAATCTCAGTGTGACACGAAAGCCCACCATTTGTGTCACATGCCATTGTGACACCTCATAGATAACAGACATTTGTATGACTGGGTCCCCAGTAAGTGTTTGCTCTCATGCAGTTTGCGTGTTATGGGGGGAAGATAGGAAACACATGAAAATATGTATAATTTCAGACAGTCACACATTCTACAAAGGAAACACGATGAGGAGAGGTGTGAGCGACTAGAAGGAGCTATTTCACATGTAGAATGAGCTCAGTATGTCTCTGCTAGGTGACATTTGAACAGGTCACTTAAATGATGAGAAGAAACTGTCCAAGCAAAGAATCCAGGGGAAAGACACCAGGGTCCTAAGGCGGGAAAACATGTGCCTGGTTAAGGGGATTCGGAAAGCAGCCAGTGTGACTGGAGCGGACAAAGGGACAATGGAGCAAAGTCCGAGAGTGCTGGGCTGGGCCACACAGCCACTTACGGGCCACGGCAAGGATTTGCAGCCTAGCAAGGTAAGAAATTGTTTGACTTTAGATTATCTAGTTTCAAAAAATACTAAGAATGCTTTGTCTCTGTAGAGGAATCGGTACCAAATACCTGCCCTATTTCTAGTTCCTGGAATACAGGAAAGCCAGTGATAGGGACTAAAGAGGAGTAGAGAGTCAGATAAACCACAAAAATTCTCCATGAAAAAGTGAGTGGATGATAGACAACTTAAAACAAAGGAATGAACAACAAAGCCAAGGGTAGGAGTTGTTTTTTGGTGTCTCCATTCCTCAGAACCGGAGGGAATGGACATTATAACATGCACGACTGAGGAAAGTGAGGTTGGAAGCCATGTGTGCACAGGTCCTCACACACGGCCTGGAACAGAGCAGCCCCTCAAAACACTTCCACATAGTCTTCTCCAGACTACTGCACTGGAAAATGCATGAACAGTAAACCAAGGGACTGTATAGACTGGGTGGATCTTCATTTCCATTTTTAACTAAAGAAGCACAGCCTTATTCTATCAAAATTCTCCAAAACTGCAAAGGTTTTACCTGTCAAATAAGGGAAGAACGAAATAAAAGTGCCTCATTTTTTCAGAGCATGCTTTATAGTCTGTTGCCATCTCCCCCCCCCCCGAGTACCTCTAATCTATCTCTAACCCTTTTCAGTGTGTAAGTTTGTATTAACAGGACTATTTTATTTTCACAACCAAAAGACATTAGGATCGTGAAAGAGCAAATAGCAGACTACAGTATTTGAATGCTGTTTTACATTGAGAATCAGTTCACGAAGACCGAATTAAAAATCATCTGCTGAGACTGCTGAGCAGGCTCTCACTGCGGTCTTTGTTGCAGAACGAAGTTACAATAGTGCTTGTATTTTCCTCCAGAAGGAAAAAAAATCTTTACCACAAATTAGCCTAAAGCATTCTGGCCTTTGTTCTGGACCATCAGAGGAGGCAGAGATCTTCATATAGGAGAGGGGTGACCCATGAGCTCCTTAGGCTTACTTGCAAAATTTTGTGTCTGTACATATTTTCATTTCAGGTTAAGTATCTCAAAGGAAACTGAACCCCACAGAATGCTTAAGAACAGCTGCTTGCTGTTTCAGAATACTGCCATTGTGATTCAGCTCCCCGTGACTCAGAAGTTCTCATATTTTGACACTAGGAAAGTTCTACAAGACATATACATGAGGTACCTGGTCCACACTCCTCAAACTGAAGTCATTCCTCCCCAGACAGGGCTCATTCCTGCTGTCCACCTTTCCCGGGTAGTAGGCCTGGTCTTCCATTTATTTTACTAGTCTTGTCTTTGGAAAGTATATTCATTCTTGTTCCGGAATGCAGTGTGCCTTTTGGCCAACAGAGAGAAGGGATTTCTGCAAGGCACATAGGTGGGGTACACTGGGGTGGGCAACTCTCAGGCAGTCCCGGGAATGGCGAGTAGCCAGATTTGTAAATTCAGGAAGCCCTGCCTGAGACTCTGGCCCACTACTGCCTGGAGTGAAGGGCCTACATGGCATCTGGCCAAGAAACATAACTATTTCCCAGGTCAGAGCCATGCTGATCTGCTCGTTCTCTACATGGCATCTTACACTCCCATGGAAAATGCGGAAAGTTGGCAGGACCTCGGGAAACGGTGCATCCTTGACATCATAAATTCTTTGGGGGCAGGAAAATGACCTACGTCATCTTTTTTTTTTTTTTACTTAATGAATTTGACTTTTATTCATCATAATTATCAGTATACATACACAGAAATTGATACTCCAAAAATACTTTTTGGGAAGGACCAGCACCATTAGCTACAACCTATAAGGATACCTTTCTTACCAAGTATTGGGTAGAAAGGTTATGGGTAGTGAGGAGCTGGCAAGGTGTCCAAGATGACAAAGAAATTATAGACTCAGGGGAGTTGAAAGAGACCAAACAGAAGTAGTAAATAGCGGCGTATCTCACACGTTGCTAAAAATGAGTCAGCAGGCACAAAGCCAACTTCAACAGCCAATAAAACAAATGAAATAGGTAATTTAAAGGAAACAGCTCTACTAAGTCCAACACGCCTATCAACACTCACATTCACACCTTCCTGCAAGCATCACTTGTTCTGCAGGAAGACACTTTGATGACAAACTTTAATGGGCCTGGCTTTCCTTGTAAAGGGAATAGACACCAAAGAGGAAATTTAAAATGAGTGCTGAAATTTCACTCAGAAGGAGTGGAATAGATGGAAACACTCCTCTCCAAAGGAGAAATGTACCAGAAAACTTTACCATCCACCACAAGGATGGGTCAACGTGTTTCTGGCTGTTAGGAGAGGTTGGCCAATGGAGATACTCAGGTTCCCATCACGTTCAGGAAGTGTGTTGATGAGACTTCTGTTGCACTGTCCTCGCTCCCTTACTTGCATCGAGCTGAGGTCTCAGTTGCTAACCCTGCCTGGGCAGTGAGGGCCCAGCTGCTAAGGCTT